ACTCTCTTAATGTTTCTTGTAAGTCTCTTCACTTTTGTTTGTCTGGGAGACTCTTGATGTCTCCTTTTCTGAATGACAGCCTTGGTGGGTAGAATATTCTTGATTGCAGGCTTAGTAATTTCAGCACTTAGAATATATCATTCTACTCCCTTCTGCCTGAAGAGTTTCTTCTGAAAAATCAGCTGATAGCCTTATGGGGTTTCCCTTGTACATAACTGTTTTCTTTTGCTGCTTTTAAATTTTTGTCTTTATGACTACATTTTGTAATTTTAGTTACTATGTGTCTTGGTATGGACCTTCTTGGGTTGATTTTGTTGGGGCCTTTTGTGCTTTCTGGATCTGGATGTCTGGTTTCCATCTCCAGTTTCAGGAAGTTTTCAGCTATTATTTTTTCAAGTAAGTTGTCTGCCCCCTTTTCTCTCTCTTGTCCTTCTGGGATTCCTGTAATGCAAATGTTATTTTGCATGATGATGTCACCGAATTCCCGTAACCTATTCTTTTTTTATTATTCTTTTTACCTCTTGCTGTTCAGTTTGGTTGTTTTCTATTACTCTTTCAGCTCACTGATCCATTCTTCTGCCTTCTCTAATCTGCTATTGATTCCCTTTAGTGTATTTTTCATGTCAGTTATTCATTTCTTCATCTCTGATTGGTTCTTTTTAATATTTTATATCTCTTTCTTGAAGGTCCCCCTGAGGTCCTCCACTCTTTTCTCAAGTCCAGTAAGTATATTTATGACCATTATTTTGAATTCTGTATCAGGAATATTGCTTGTCTTTCATTTAACTCTTTTGTTGTGGTGTTGTCCTATTCTTTCATTTGGGACACAGTTCTCAGTCTCATTTTGTCTAACTCATTGTGTCTATGTATTAGAAAAGTCAGCTATGTCTCTTTATCTTCAAAGTAGTAACCTTATGAAAGAGAAGTCCTGTGGTGCCCTGTAGTGCAACGTCCCGTTTACCATAACCAGGCACTTCTGGTTTCCTGTATGGGTTGTGTGCACCTTATTGTCGTGGCTGAGCCTGGTTTGCCTTCAGTCTAGTCATCTGCAATGGCCCATTTTGTTGTAGGCAGGGTTTGGACCCTGTACTGTTAAGGAGCCAGTTTGGAGTTGCTACGGGCTTCTACTTAGGCGGTGTCAGTAGCCAGACCAGATGCCTGCCCTCAGCCCATTTGCTGTCACTGCTGTCACTCCAAACTGCAGGGCATTCTCCCCACCTTGTCCCCTGAGAAGCTTTCATTGGTGATGGGGCCTGCAGTCAAACCGGATGCCTGTCCGCCGTCTGTCTTTTGGGGTTACGGTAGCACCAACCTGTGGGGTGTTCTGTCTCTTCCCCAAGAGGATTTTGTTGGTGGATGGGGCCAGCAGTTAGACCAGATGCCTGTCCCCAATCTACCAGGGCTGCAGCCTCCCAAACTGCAGGGCTTTCCCTGTGTACTGCACCTTGAGAGGTTTTTGCTGGTGGGTGGGGCCAGCAGTCAGATCAGATGCCTGTCCCCAGTCCACCTGCTGGGGCTACAGACACACTGATTGGCAGGGCACTCTCTCTGCACTGCCAGTTATAGGGTTTGGCTGCTGGCACTGCAAGTGTAGTGGTGCGTGTGTTTATCTTTCCCTCTCCCCAAGGCAGTATCCACTTTAGAGTGGCACCAATTCCTGCCAGAGCTGCTTGCAGGATGAGAGGAGGCAGGAGGAACTTTGGAGGAACCTCTGCTGAGCGGGGCAGGTTAGAGGGATCCTCAGGAGAAGGTGGGGATGGGGCACGTGGTGTTAGCAAGGTAGGTGGAGTGTCCATGCTGGTATCCGCAGGTGTCCAGGTATCTACGCTGGGAGGGCAGGGGAGAGAAATGGTTCTCTACTAGATATTTGTTCTTGGAGAAGTTGCCTAAAGATCCCTGCTCTCCAGCACACACTCTGAGATTAGTAAATAAATCTCCTTCAGAAAAATCCCAGACACTTTTGAACTGCTGCTTCTATGCTTATCTTGGTGGGATTGTCATTCTGTTTCTTCAAGGGTAGGGACTCAGTTTCAGATTGTCCTCTTGCTCTCAAAGAGCTAAGCCTGCTGGTTTTTGAAGAACTTGGAATTAAGCTCCACAGTTTAAAAGGTCAGTAAGTTAAGCCCAGCTGGTTTTCAAAGCCAAATGTTATGGGGATTCATCTTCCCAGTGCAGGTCTGCTGTGCCTGTGGTGCCTGTTGTGGGGTCTGCTCCTCTCTCTTCTTCCTCCCATTTGTGGTTAAGTCTCACTGGGAGTGTGGTTCTTGACCACATCTCCACCTCTCCCACTCTTTTCAGTGTGGTCTCCTCCCTAGGATTAACTGTGGAAAGTCTGTTCTGCCAGACTTTGGGTTGTTTTCAGGGTTAGTTGCACTGATGGGGCTGTTATCTAGGTGTGCCTGTGGGATGAGGCAAACTCAGAATCCTCATACTCCTCCTTCTACACCATCTGCCCAGAAGTCTGGTTGGTATTTTCTTATGTTTTCTATCTACTTAAGTTCTCACTGTGCTCATCCATTTTTGTTCCATTTTCAGTTAGCACCTTTATGACTATTACTTTGAACTGTTTATCACGTAACTACTTATACCCATTTCATTAAGGTCTTTTTCTGAGGTTTTATCTTATTCTTTCACTTGGAACATATTCTTCTATAGGAGATTATTTCTGATGAAGTTTATCACTTATCCGCCAAAGACAAATATCTACTTTTCTCTTTCTCCGAGACAAGGGCCAAATTAGCTTAACTTTGAATGGTAAAGTTGGCTTTTGACTAAAGCCACAGAAAACTGTGCTAGGTAGATGGTGAACAGGTTACACACTGATATTATTTCACTGTTACATTAATTTAGATGCATGATATATCGGGAAAGAACATCACTGGAACGCAAATCTTTCTGTTCATAGTGTTTTTCTCTAATTTTCACCTTCTTTTTGTCTGTTTCGGTTTTAGTCTGACACTGTAGGGAAATTCACTGTGAAGTAAGGAACAAGTGAGCATGTGCCCTCTGTCCTCAAAAGTTGGCATGCAAGCCTGTGAACCTGGAAAGAGAACAAAGCTTTCTAATATGGTAAACCAAGAAAATGTAGATTAAGAAGCCTGGTTTCCTCTTCTTTGCATCAGCACATAACAGCTGTCAGATACCACTGAATAATCTACTCCTCCTGTTCCTGAAAGGTAGATGTCATTATGAAAGCATTTCCAAAAGGAAGTATGTTTTAATTTGGGACAATGGCACAAATGAAGTGGTAATGCAACAATAAAAGAGAAAATTTAAAAAGTACAGTATTTGCATTTGTGATTTTTTTTTTTTTTTTTTTTTTTTT